ATTGTCCTGACATCCAGAGAGGGCTTTTGGATGTGTACTAGTGCCTTGTCTGACATTGAGTGAGCCCAGGGTCCCCTCACCACTGCCCGTGTGGTACAATAACCCAGTTGGCTGCACATCACAGCTTGCTTCCTCTCAGAGTGAGCTACTCCACGCTCTGAACCAAGGAAAAGGCTGAATGCATCAGGCTAAAATAATAGTGATAGATATATTGCCAACAGGATGAAACTGGGCATTACTGAGCCAAGATAAGAGATATGAAAGACACCTGTTGAGGCCATTTAGGGTTTCTTGTTAATATTTAAACACCCCCCCCACACACACAGATCAAAACAGTCTTATCTGGATGTTTAAACTTCAAGATTAGAATGAAGCCTCAAACCCTCCCCCACCCACAAAAAAAAAAAAAAAATTAGGGGAAAAGAAATTTTATGAGAGTTGTGGAAATTTGAGGACCAAAAGAACCAAACTCCTGGAATGGGAATCACCGAGGGGGTTGTATGTTGCCCTCTCTGGTAATATGAGAGCTAAGATGGACTCAAATTCTCCACACCTTGGGTCTCTTGCATATCTTACCACAATGCTAACCACATGGTAAAGGCACAATTTTTTAAAATGAGCAAGAATTTCATAAAAATGAGCATTGAGTAATATTTTATGATTCCACCTACATGAGGTACCTGAGAATAGACAAATTCATGGAGACTAATTACCAGGAGCTGGAAGAAGAGAGGAATGGGGAGTTAGTGTTTAAGGGGGACAGTTTCTGTTTGGGATGATGACAAAGTTCTGGAGATGGATGGTAGTAATGACTGCACAACCATGTGAATGTCCTTAATGCCACTGAATGGTACACTTAAAACATGGCTCAATGGTAAATTTTACATTTTGCATATTCTAGCACAATTTTTTAAACTTTTAGTAAAATTTTAAAATGAATAAAAATTTTAAAATAAAACACAAGCAGTGAGTATCTGGCTAGATAAGGATAGTGACCTCTGATCTCAGGAGGCTCTGACCACCTCTTTACGGAAGTAGCTGGAACCTGGGCATCCGGTGTGTGGAAGGCCCATAAAGGAGAATCAGGGGCTGCCTATATGTAGATGACAGAAGCCATCTCTCCCACTTGAAGATGGTGCATTTTCTAGTATAGAGTTCTGCTTCATGTGGAGGAATCTTTCATACATTTGAAGATAGTAAGCAAAAAAACACTACGCAGGACAAGGAGTGGGGGTGCTTAAAAGTTCTGGACTTTGTTGCAACCTGGGTAAAGTACCCTTCTCAGGACTTAGTTTCCATTTCTACAAACTAAAGCGATGAGACCAAATGACACATGGCCTTACCAACTCTATGATTTCATGGTTCTAAGCTATCCTTTAACTTCTTTTTCCCAAACAGTTCCAACGTAAGTGCAATGACGAAAACAGTTTCTCATCTCATTAGTCATCACTGTTCTGTTCTGAACTTTCAAGTGTCTTCTTCTTTTCAAAGGAAGAGTGATCCAAATGAACATACCAGTTTCATAAAGATAACCTGAGTGCAGACTGTGGAGGACACACCACTGTCACTTCTAAATATAGCACAAAATCACTGTGGCTTTTGGAGGGGGCTTTCTTTCTTTTTTAGTTTTTTAATTGCAGTATAGTTAACAAACAGTGTTATATTAGTTTCAGGTGTACAATATAGTGATTCAGCAATTCCATAAAAACCCAAGTGCTCATCACGACAGGTACACTCCTTAATCCCCATCCCCTATTGACTTTTTTTTTTTTTTAAAGATTTTATTTATTTGACAGAGCGAGACAGCGAGAGCAGGAACACAAGCAGGGGGAATGGGAGAGGGAGAAGCAGGCTTCCCGCCGAGCAGGGAGACCGATGTGGGACTCGATCCCAGGACCCTGGGATCATGACCTGAGCCGAAGGCAGACGCCCAACGACTGAGCCACCCAGGCGCCCACCTATTGACTTTTTTACACCATACACAAAAATAAATTCAAAATGGATTAAAGACCTAAATATGAGCCCTGAAACCATAAAAATCTTAGAAGAGAGCACAGGCAGTATGTCTCCACATCAGCTACAGCAACATTTAGTATTTCTAGGTAGGTCTCCTGAGGCAAGAGAAATAAAAGCAAACATAAACGATCGGGACTACATTAAAATAAAAAGCTTCTGCACAGTGAAGGAAACAATCAACAAAACTAAAAGGCAACCTACAGAATGGGAAAGGATATTTGTAAATGGCATAATCGATAAAGGGTTAGTATCCAAAATATATAAAGATCTTTTTTAGTTTTTTAAAGCAATAATATACTGTGGAATCATTTTCAAATGTTAAGAAAATACAGTCAATGGGAATCAAGTTATACAGTAACATTTAACTATTTTCCTTTTCCTTAATCAGCTGGGTGATAAAAAGCAGCCTGATTGCTTTTCAATAGGGAAGGATGAGAGTATGAACAAAGGCACTTTTTATAACCACCTTCCACTATTTAGAAGCAATAAGGAACATTCGGGGTTGTTTACCTAACCTGTAGGTCCTCTATTCAAATTAATTCATTCTATTCAGTTATTCAAAGTGCTGTTAAAAAAGAAAGTTCTTTTTAAAGATTTCTTAAAACAGTTAAGAACCATTGACACCACTTCAAATGAATCAAGTGTGTCTGTATTATAGACTGTGTATATAAAATGGTTAAGGTGGGTTCAGTTTAAAGAAGTTTTCAAATGTCTGGGTTTTGCTTGAATGATGCCAGATAACCAGTCTGATTGAGCAATTCACTCGTTAATCTATTGATTTGGTAATTAATAAAGTTGGCCTAAAAAAAAGCTTAAAAGCACTTGAGTGTAAGTGGACTAAGTCACCTTAGAGAATAAAATGGTATGAAAACTAGAAATCAGCATCCCAAGGAGGGAAAAAGGACTGAAATTAGACCAACAAAGTAGAAGTTAAGAATACATCCCCCTATAAAATAACATACCAACAATATTCCAATTGAATTGTCTTCATTAGATTGTTTTTATTTTTAAGATTTTTCTTTTTTAAATACATAGTGGATTGGATTCCTAAGTCATATTTCACGGATGCATACATGGAAACCAATAATGCTTCAAATACATAAAACCATTAGAACAGATTTCATTCAAAATTACAATGGCAAAATAATATACAAAGATGCATAAAATCTTTATTAAATAAAACCTGACACAATACTTCTTAATATAAGAGAATGGATTATGAACTAGTTTATAGTATATAAAACAGTTCCTAAAGTAAAATAAAACTTATAGATAAAATCTGTCTACACACAGGGCACCTGGGTGGCTCAGTTGGTTAAGCGACTGCCTTCGGTTCAGGTCATGATCCTGGAGTCCCGGGATCGAGTCCCGCATCGGGCTCCCTGCTCGGCAGGGAGTCTGCTTCTCCCTCTGACCCTCTTCCCTCTCATGCTCTCTATCTCTCATTCTCTCTCTCTCAAATAATTAAATAAAATCTTTAAAAAAAAATCTGTCTACACACATTGCCGTTTTCCTTTTATGACTACTTACCCTCTATCTAGACATTCTCTTTCCGTATACTTACTGTCTTGTGCTGTTCCCTGCATCTTCTCAACTATGTTCCTCCTCCTGGACAGTGACTCATTCCCTATAAAGTCTCTTCAAAACAACACAGCCATCATAAACCTCCCATTGCTACCAAGTTCTGATCTTGCCTGGCTCTCCCAGAAAAGGGCAATAAGGTAATACATAGTAGTTCTAAGCGATAACAGGCCTTATGTTATCTGATTAGCTACATTATGTAGATGGCTACTTCCTCGTGCTAGAAGTGAGCTATTCCTGATTCTCACTGAATTCTGTACTTGTAGTCAACAGAAAGATACAGAAATAGAAACAGAGACAGAGAGAGAAAGGAACATTATAGATCTTTTTAGCCTGGGAACAAACATCCTAAGACATCTAAAAATTCCACTGGGTATCAGGGGAATATCTGAAGCGTGGTGGTGGTCAAAAGCATTAAAACTTAGCTACACTGACTCAAGAATTTTATATAGCACCAACTGCCATTAGTCCCATATAAACCGGAACTAACGGCAGGACCCAAGTACAATGCAGGGGTACCAAATACCTGTTAAAATAAATTGTAAACAAAACCCAGCACAGATTGAATCTGAACAAATTCTTTTCTACTTGAGACAATGACCCCCAACTTGGAGACCACCAGCCCCTATCAGCTTCCAGTGATGACAAGCGGTTCTTGAATCCACATACATATCCAGCACTGCCAATGGACTAAATAAACCACATGTTTCTCAAGTATAGGCATGACTACTCCTCAAATGTAAATAGTTCCTGATGTGATTAATGAAATCCAATACATTCAAAGAAAGTACTGAATTTATAATTAGTTCATCACTGAATATTTTCTCAGCTAATATACAGTAAGTAAACAACCAGTAAAATGAGTGAGTCCTTGAAAATTTTGCCACTGTAAAAAGTTACTTCATACCAACAAAAGGGTTAGGAATCACCTGCCTCAGGTTCTATACTGAACTCTCCAGTCAAGGTTTGAGGGACCTGGATTCCAGTGCCTCAATACGTACATACATAGGCTGACTTCCCTTCACAGTGATGAATGACAAAAATACACGCATGGTAGTAAGATTTACTTATATGCATAAAAAGAATGACTTTTCATTTAGAGTAACAAAATTTGAAGTAACAAAAGGAAAATAAACAAATATATACACATACACTAAAATCAATACAAAAATACATTAATTTATTGGGTCTCCTCCATAGATCTACTAATCTACACAGAAGATACTGAAATGCATACGCTGCCTATCATCACTGTCAGCTAAATGTGCTCACAGGGCTGTTTTGCACCTGCTTTCCCACTTCTACTCTGTAAAGAGCTCCAGGTTCATTAGGAAAGTGGTCCTTCTTTAAAAACAGTAATAACAAATGAAGAAGGAAAAATAAATATGAACTCATCGGCAAATCTACGGCAGGTTGATTGCCTGGTCCTCCTTGAATTTGGGGATCTTCTTAAACTCACTTTGCTTCTTGAAGAAAAGTTGGGCCAGGATGTGGTCTGCTGTGGCCTGGAGATAATCGTCCATGTCAAGGGTTTGCAACTGGCAGTGGAAACCAAAACAAGATGTATCAGCACCAAAGTACTCAGATTCCTACACAGATCTTATGGTCATCAAGGCACTTGCAAGCCAGCAGGGTACTTGGCTGTGTAACTTTATGGCCGCTACGAATTCCTGCGAAAGGTCACCTCATATGCCTGTCTTCCCTTGCCACGGGGGGCTCACCTTTTCAATTCTGAGAATAAGGAAAGTCCAATTGATGGCTAGAGGTGCTGAGGCATCGGAAACTTTCTTTGGAAGGGACGTCTATCCTACTGAAAGGGAGTTCTCTTTGATGAGTGAAGACCCTCTGTGTTTCCGTGCGCAGGGACTAGTAACAAAAGGGCTTCTCAGAGCTCCATGCCCAGTGGCACATGACAGAGGCAAACTTTGCTGTCCTCCTACTCCACAGCCAGACACAGGCCTCCCTCCACTGAGTTGATAACCTCTGCCTGTCTGGCCAGGCTATCCAGTCAGCTGCGTCTGACCATCGGCCCTTGCTCCCTCTCTCTGTCACGCTCTTTCCTCTCTGACATTAACTCTCTTTCTCAGTCAGCCTGTCTCAGTTTGCCCCTCTGGATCTGTCTCACTGTGTGTTTCTGTCTCTCAATGTGTCCATGTGTGTGTGTTTCTCAGTTGGTTCGGAACTTGGGGAGTTAGGAGAGAATGTGATATATTCAGTCCCTTTATAACCATATAAGATTATTTGATTCTCCTTCTCTTCACACATAGGTTCTGCCAGTTCATTCATTTATTCACTCAGCTCACATCTCACATTGAGGGCCTCCTGTGGTCCAGATACCTTGCTTAGCAGGATATTCTGCACATCAGAGGTACTCAGCAATCTCTCTAAAACTGTCTTATACTCACCTGGTCTCCGGTGCTGAAGGCAAGAAGGAAAAGCAAATCCTCATCACATGAGCTCTTAATGTAATGTTGGGTTCCAGTGGGGAAAAATACCACATCTCCGATGTGAACATCAAACTCTATGATACCCTGAGTATTAATAATGCCCACCTAAAGAGGGAGGGGGAAAAACTATGTTGAAGTTAAGCAAATAAAATCAAATATTTATTAAGAAGATGTATTAATAGGGGCGCCGGGGTGGCTCAGTCGTTAAGCGTCTGCCTTCCGCTCAGGTCATGATCCCAGAGCCCTGGGATCGAGCCCCACATCAGGCTCCCTGTTCCACGGGAAGCCTGCTTCTCCCTCTCACACTCCCCTTGCTTGTGTTCCCTCTCTTGCTGTGTCTCTCTCTGTCAAATAAATAAATAAAATCTTAAAAAAAAAAAAGATGTATTAATAGTGAAGAACAGATGAATAAAAACATATAGTTATAAAAGGACTTCTTAGTGAGGGTAAATAGCAGAAAATAGAGGCCATCTTTTACATAAAATCTTCTGTTTCTGAGACGTAGCCCCACAGAAGTCAAAAGACTCTATTTCAGTAAATGTTCCTCAAAATGCATTAGTGAGTGCAATACTGTGGAACATCATGCAAAAACAGCATCAATCACTATGTTCTAATTAAGGATCATAAATTCCCTAATCAGGCAGAAGGCTTACACCTCACTGTTTTACTGCCCTCATGCCCTCCTTTTGACTTGCTCTGGGAAATTCAGCCTTCTAGGACAGCAGCATCCTAATAGGCCCCCTTAAAGGGATCAGAAACAAAATGTGCACACAAATGCACACCCATGAGCACACAAGCACACCGAAAATAAGATCTTATCCTTGAAACGTAATTTGGGAGTGATAGCAGTGCCCTTTTCCAGCGTATTCAAGCCTTTGCCTCTAAAAACATAAAACGAAAGTTTTGCTATGCATGACCTAACAAGTGCAAGTCAGTCTGGTTTGGTTCTTTCTGTCAGGATGGAGACAGGGACAAGCTAGTAGTTCATGTGACCTGGGTAGGCCATTGGAGATTTGCCCAGGGAGCCCCGTGAAAGTCCAGAAGAACTGTGGTCAAGTCACTACCATAACGTGCTATTCAGTGTGGCTTTTCTTGTCACCAAGACAAGTGTACATCAGAAGGATCCTGCATAAACAGGGATACGTGGCCACCCTACTGAAGCTCCACACCTCCCCAGCCACCCCCACTCACATTACACTGAGGGGCAAACAGTGATGTCACAGTCCCCAAAGGGCAATGCATTAAACCTTGCATTACCTAAAAACGTGAGACTCTGAAAATGTTAAATGTTTCAAACCCTTCACCCTATGTGATAACTTCTTTATCATTTCTGACATGGTCTTAGCCTTTTCTCATGCTAATAGCAAAGTTAGAAGCTATCTAGCATGGCCTGCATGGTATTTTCTGTGGAAACTGTATCCAGAAAGCCATTAACACCAAGTCTTTCCATGTTACCAATAACTAAACCAAAACAAAGAAAAACCTCCTGTTTGCTTCTTTCTGCATCAAAAAGGAAAGTTCAAAAAGCTGTTTGTGGAGAAATTACCTTTGCACATCCACTTATTACATATCCCATTTCATTTGCATTAAAATGAAAATGTGGCTGTCGTAATCCATTGTTATAAATTCTGAGTGTACTCAAAGTGAGAGCATTCTGATGCTTGAAAAAGGAAAAAGAAATAAATCCAGTTATTTAGCAAACATCCTACTCAGCAACTTAACCATTCACATAATCCTAATTATAACTTATCTTTCTCCAGCCCTCACTGAGAACATACAATTTTTTTTATCCCTTATATTTATTATGTCTCTTGTTCCTTATAACAATCTTGTAAGGTTGGTAGTCTTATTCCCCCCCTTTTTTGCAGGTGATGAATTTGAAATATAGATTGGCTGAGTAATTTACTTAGGGTCAGACAGTGGCGGACCTGGGACCTGAACCAGGGAATTTGATGGCACCATTGCATTCTTAGTCATTATGCAATGATTAAGTTGGGCATTTGAAAACAAATGAAAGAGAAATCTCACAAGCATCCAATCTTTTCATTAATGTAACCATCCATGCCAAGAAGTTAAGCTCCCAAATCCACACTGTGGCCTTAATTAATAGTTTCCATTAATCAAATCAAGTAATGTTTGACTAGATTTTTCCTTTTCCTTTTTTCCAAAAGAAGGCTGAATCCAATCTAAATCTTATATTTCATCAATCTTAATAATCATCAAAAATTTTTTTTTCTCAGGGCTCCTGGGTGGCTCAGTTGGTTAAGCATCTGTCTTCAGCTCAGGTCATGATCTCAGGGTCCTGGGATTGAGCCCCAAATCAGGCTCCCTTGCTCAGCGGGGAGCCTGCTTCTCCCTCTCCCACTTCCCTTGCTTGTGTTCCCTCTCTCACTGTCTCTCTCTGTCAAATAAATAAATAAAACCTTTAAAAATTTTTTTTTTCCTCAATTACCTGATTCAGGAATTCACTAAAAATTTTTTCATGGCTGCTTAGTTCACTTCCATTTTTCCAGTATTGTGCCAGTTGTATTACTCCTCCTGGAAATTGATATTCTTTTGAACCTGAGTCAGAGGAAATTTTAAAAACAAAATAAAATACTTCATTCAAAATGGTACTACAAAAGGAGAGCCAAATGTAGTCCCACTAAGGTACATCAGCTCTTCTGTAGTCACAGGAAACATGTGATAGGAATCACTGCCACCAGATCCTATATGCCCCTAAGATACTGACCTGATACGGTCAGATACTGTCCTACCGTCCAAGTTCTGAAATTTCCAACATAGAGTGACCTCTTTAACACAGACTATTCAATTCAGGGGACCTTGCTAGAAAACTTGAGAGTCATTCTATCATTCTACATGTCAATCTTTACCTCACCCTCAAGCCGACCTTAAGTCCGACCTCTTTAAGGTAGGTCAGTCCTATCAGTCCTACCTCTTTAAATTCTCCTGCTTCATAACAATCCTCTCCCTCTCAAAACTACCACAGCGCAGGCCACCATCATCCCTCACTTGAGGGTCTTCAAGAGCCCCCTGACTCATCTCCTTGTCTCTCATCTATGCTCTTCCAATCCACAATTCAGCTAGATCAGCCATCACTTCAAAAAACTAACACTAACTTAAAAAGGTATCTGCACCCCCATATTCACTGCAGCATGATTTACAATAGCCAAGATATGGAAACAACATAAGCATCCATCAATGGATAAATGGGTAAAGAAAATGTGGTATATACATACAATGGAATATTATGTAGCCATAACAAAGGATGAGATCTTGCCTTTTGGGACAACATGGATGAACCTTGAGGGCATTATGCTAAGGGAAATAAGTCAGACAGAGAAAGATAAATACCATATGATCTCATTTATATGTGGAATCTAAAAACAAAAAACAAGCTCGTAAATAGAACAGATTGGCGGAGAGTAAGGTGTCTGCAAAGTAGGTGGTGAAAGGAGTCAAAAGGTACAGACTTCTCAGTTATAAAATAAATAAGTCTTGGGGATGTAATGTATAGTATGGCAACTATAGTTAATAATATTGTACTGCATATTTGAAAGTTGCTAAGATCTTAAAAGTTCTCATTACAAGAAAAAAAATTCTGTAACTATGTATGGTGATGGACGTTAACTAGACTTATTGTAGTGATCTTTTTGCAGTAATACTGGATCATTATGTTGAACACCTAAAGTTAATGTTTTATGTCAATTAACTTCAATAAAATAAATAAAATAATTTTTAAAAATAAATACAGGGACACGTGGGTGGCTCAGTCAGTTAAGCAGTTGCCTTCAGCTTGGGTCATGATCCCAGGGTCCTGGGATCAAGTCCCGCATCAGGTTCCCTGCTGGGTGGGAAGCCTGCTTCTCCCTCTCCCCCTCCCCCTGCTTGTGCTGTCTCTCTCTCTGACAAATAAAATCTTAAATAAATAAATGCAAAACCTAATTTAAACTTTAAAACTTAATTTAAAATCTCCTATTTAAAATCCCTTAAATGCTCCCATCAAAATAAAGTATACACTGGGTGTTATGCACAAACAATGAATCACGGAACACTACAACAAAAACTAATGATGTAATGTATGGTGATTAACATAACAATAAAAAATTTAAAGAAACAAAATTTAATCACATTCAGGGACAAAAAATAAATAAATAAAGTATAAAGTCATCAGCATGGCTTCTAAAACCTGCATTCTTGGACCCTCCTCTCTCATCAGCCTCTTCTCCTGAGGCACCCCCAGCCCCAACAACATTCTCCTTTGCTTCCATTCCTTTTCTCTCATTTCCTATTCTTTAGAGAAATGTGTTTTTTTCAAACTCATCTTGACTGTGACCCATTATAAAAAAAAAAAACAAAAAAAAACATGTTACATCTCAATCCAACACCTATATAATCACATATATAAACACTTAACTATAAAGGTTTTGCAAAATAACATACTATACCTTTAAGGTCATAAAAATATTTCCACACAAGACTGTCTGGAGACTGTACATAACTAGGATTTGTAACCAGTTCTGCCAAGTTGGGAGGAAGATTGACCGCCTGATCCTCTTGTTGCTTCTGGAATGTTCTAATGAAATTAATTCCACCTTCAGGCTGAAACACATAAGAAATCATATAAGGTATTTGTGAAACATTCTACAAATTTTAGTAATAGAAAGGTAGATAGCTGTGGAGAGGGTAACATAGTGGTTTTCAGTGGTCCAGTCAAAGGAGCTGACCTCAACCAGCCTAAGGCTTGTGATATTCATGAAAATCCTCCCAAGTTTTCAATGCATTTTGGCTTTAAATGTGTTGATATTTTATAATCATTATAACTCTTACAAAAATATACACTGGTTCTCATATTTACCAAAATTCTCCTAATAACTCATTTTTTTCCACTTCTCCCTGTAACATTGGATCAGGATGTGCTGCAGGGTAAATCTCAAAACCTCCCTAGATAGATTTCTAAATTTGCCACAGAACTCCTTCCAGTTGCCACTCACGGGCCATCACCAGTTCTTCTGATCACCCGTTTGTATTGTCAGCATCTGCATCTGGCCCTCTCCCTCTACACTCAGCTCTAGGAGCAGTCCCTCCATGATAATAGAACTACTTAGAAAAAACAAAAGCAGCTTTCCTTCCGGAAAACAATGGGCTTCTCTGCATTAGATTAGGAAAACACAATTATGTATCTGTAGCAAACTTCTCTCTGAATGAGCTTACGTCTTTTTTTTTTTTTAAAGATTTTATTTATTTGACAGAGACACAGCGAGAGAGGGAACACAAGCAAGGGGAGTGGGAGAGGGAGAACCAGGCTTCCTGCAGAGCAGGGAGCTCAATGTGGAACTCGATCCCAGGATCCTGGGACCATGACCTGAGCTGAAGGCAGATGCTTAACCGACTGAGCCACCCAGACACCCCGAGCTTACATCTTTTTAGAGATGTGAATTATAGTAATTTTTATTACCTCTATCAAAACTTTTCTACCAATTCATTATAGTTTCCTGTAGAAGTCCTTCATAAAGGAAAGTAAAAGCTAAGTCAATTTCAACAAGTTGTATATCTTTAGTAGGAATACAAGTTATGTTCTTGAGCTCATTACCCAACTCTTACCCTACTGACTGCTACCCTAGAAACACAAATACTCATGCTTTCTTTGTGCCTATGTAATGAAAACCCTCAAGGAGGGACTTGTGTTCAGTAGTGATACAGACCTTAAGTGACCTGGAAGCAATGTCTTCAGGTACAGAAAAAAACACATCATCAACATCCAGGGTGTGAAGTTCATCATGTGTGGAAAAGAAGAGCAAGAAAAAGCAGTCTTCATTCCCCACATTCTTTATCCAGTGGAGAGTATTTTTAGGGAAGAAGATCACTTGGCCACTTGTAACATTGTATGTAGTAACTACACCACCATCATCAACCACCCCAATCCATGCCGAGCCCTGAAACATAAACAGAAAACACATACAACATCACTTTAGAGCAATGTTTCTCAAACTTTTTTCATTACGTCTCTTATACGGTACCATTTTAGTCTTTTTTGACTAATCACTATCCTATGAAATTTTAACACTGCAGATGTAAATCTGGGTACACCGGATATACATAGTGCTTATGTACCACATGCATATCTGTGCTTTATACATAAAAAAAGTAAGGCGTTTTTACCTTCTAAGGACCAGTTTTTACACCCCCCCCAGGGGGGCAATATTGCCCCCATTGAGAATTTAGAGGTCTTTCATCCTTTAGAGTTTGAAAAGACTACAAGCACATGTGTGTGTGTTCACAGGTGGTCACACTGACATGCATGTTTGTGTATGTCCATGTTTCCATGTGTATGTATATGGATGCAAATTATTTTCTAGATAAAAAGTCTGCATCCAGTTTTAATAATAATACTAAAAGTAATAACATGGTGCTTTTACTGTGTGTCCAGATATTCTTCTAAGCACTTTACCTGACTTAACTCAGTCATCCCTTGTATCAACCCTATGAAGCAAGTACTATTATTATCCTCATTTTATAGATGAGAAACTGAATCTGGAGAGAATATTCAATTTTCCCAAGGTTACTCTGCTAGTCAATGGCAAAGCTGGGATTTGGACCTAAGCTCCAAATCCAAAGTCCACACTTTTTTTAATTGTGTAAGAACATTTAACATGAGACCTACCCTCTTCGATGTTTAAATGTTTAATACAGTATTGTTAATGATAGACACAATGAAGAACCCTAAAACTTAATTCTCTAGTCAAAATATCTAGCAGTAGAGACTAGAATGGTGGTTGCCAGAGGCTGGGGGAACTTTTAATCCACTTTTAATCCATACTACACCGTACTTTGATTCCACTTATATAGAATTATTTTTCTCATTCTCTAATCATTTCTGTAGTAGTATTCTGTAAAGTAACTAGAAAAGGTAATATTATTTCTTCCAGGGTCGGTCATTAGGGAAGCATGCACAAGAAGTCTTTGTTATGTCTACACACAACACATCTACAATGTCTGTGTAGACACAACACAGACGTGTACAACTCAGTTCCAGGTGGGTATTAAAGATACAGGGGAAGGTGAACCTGAAGAGCTCTCTCCAAGTCCACAGGCAGAGAACAGCAGAAGTGTGTATCTATTCATATCAAGGTACCAACTACTCCAAACGGACAGCAGAGCCAGCCCAGTGGGACATGAACTGCAGGGCCATGCACACTGGCCACCCCAGCTGCCCCGCTCCTCTCAGGGCCACTCCTTCCAAGGTTTTCAAGAAGAAACTCAGAAACAAAAGCAATGTCCATGGGTGAGTATGCAGTAGAGAGACTTCCTTCACATTCTATTGACTGGTTCCTTACCATGTGCGTGAGTGATCCTACAATTCTCCTGGGACCTAAACAATAATCTAGCCACATTTATTTCCTTTGAATTGAATTTTTTTATATTTTTGTAAGTAAGATCTAATTGAGTCACAACATTCTATTAGTTTCAGGCATACAACATAAAGATTTGATACTTGTATATATTGTGAAACAATCACCACCAGTCTAGTTTTAACAAATCCATCACCCTTGTTAGAAATTTTCTTATGATGGGAACTTTTAAGATCTACTCTCTTAGCAACTTTCAAATTTACAATACAGTATTATTAACTATAGTCACCATGCTGTATATTACATCCCATGATTTATTTATTTTATAACTGGAAGTTAGTACCTTTTGACAACCTTCTAACTCACATTTAGAAGATCAGATTATAAACTCTCTCTGGACTTCCAGAACCGCTCCCCAGACTGAGCTGGATTCCAGGCCTGTTATCTACTAGAACATGCTCCAGACTAATTTCCCTACTTGGGGTTTGCTGTTAAGGGTCCCCTTCCCCTTACCTGCCTTTCCTTCTTCCTACTACTCTGCCACTACTCAGCCGGAGCCCGGGAATCCAACCTTTTGGAGACTGTCCTCTTTTGTTCTTTTTTTAAGATTTACTTAGTTATTTGAGAGAGAGAGAGAAAGACAGAGGAGCCGGGAGGGGGGGGCAAGGGAGAGGGAGAGAGAATCCACACTGAGCACAGAGCCTGACACAGGGCTCCATCTCACTACCCTGAGATCACATCCTGAGCCAAACCCAAGAATCGGACACTTAACCAACTGCACCAGCCAGGTGCCCCGAGACAGTCCTCTTTTACATATTCTGTATATGTGGAAAAAGACAAAATGTCAAAAAACATGGACTTTGTCCCAGGCCAGCGAACAACTACAATTTATCTTTAGAAAAGCCAATCTTTCTGAGCCGCTGTTCTCTCATAAGAAATAAGAAGTGTTTGGTCACAGACAGATGAAACTCTAATCTCTCTTCCCGTTGTAAATTCTAAAACTCAATGAATTGCATTAAAAAGGAGTTTTATTAACACCAACAGAAATATGTCACATAACACTAGCTGATCTATTAACAGGATCACCAGGGTAAGACCAAACTGAAAGTGACATGAGCATTTAGTCACTACCCCTCCCCCAGTATCTGAAATACAGAATGCAACAATAAATACTTTTTAGAACTAATGAATTATTTGAAATTCAAGTGAGAACGCTCATTTCACCTCCAGCTCCCTTTCACTTGACTCCCAGACAATTCTAAAAAGTCTGAACCACAAAAGGGCATCCAATTGGCCAGATCTTAGGGACTCCAGGCTGAACATCAGCAAACTGATTTTTTCCTTAGAAGAAAGCTGCCATCTCTTTGATCACTGGATCAGAGCTACAAGTTTTAGCTTTGGCTCAAAGGATGGAACAGTGATCTTATTTTAACAATAGCAAATGAAAAATGACTTCATACTGAAGAAAGAAGTTCAAAGTGATGCCAAGAATAATTACAACAAACAGGTTAATGCTTCAGGGCACTGCTCACTAACCTAATTGAATACACCACCAAAGCCTGGCTGTTGTCTGTCACTTAGTTAAGTAGGTTTTGCAACAAGTAAAATAATAGCTTGAGGACACAAAGCATAAACACTGAGGCGCCAAACACGGGCAAACTGGTTATACCTGTACAAGGTAGCCATGTTCATTAGCATTGAAGTGCCAGTGAGGGGCCCGGAGGCCATTGCTTTTTATTCTCAGAGTCCCCAGGGTCATCTGTGATCTCTGACTGTTCAAGCTGCTGCCAAAGGCCTCTTCTTCAATGCTGAGGTAGTCTTTGACATTGTTCCTGTACCGGGCCCACTGGATTGCACCACCAGGGAATTCAAACACCTGAAACGTCATAGACAAGCAACCGTCAACATGGAGGCCATCTGAGGAACAGGAGGCCACTGGGGCCTGCAGAGTAGGAGGGAGGCAAAACAGAAAAGGCAGTGGTGAGGAGGTGAAGACTGAAGTCCCAGAAGGGAAGAGGAAGAATAGGTCGCCAGACTCCAGGAATGACAGCAGGAATACCTACAGAACTGTCAGTCTAGTCCACATTAGACAGGAAAAGAACACCTATCTTGACAAGAGAATAGAGAGCTTTGCATTTGTCTATCTCCAGTCCTCTCCTCTGGGCTGACACAGAGCTATCTATGAAAGAAAATCTCTGCCTGGGGCCAATATCAACCCAACCCTTCCTCTTCGCTCTCACCTCCCTTCATCTAGATGGCCCACAGTCGGTTCCTTCCAATGAGGAGAGAACAACGCTTAGTAAACAGGCAATGGGAACTTTGTTTTGAAATCACCATTAGAAAAGATGATTCTTTTTGCTAAACGTGTGATTCATACCTTGGATTTAGGCAAATGATTAAGAAACTGGAATTTTGGATCAACAGCCTTTTGCACGATGGGAACCGTTGTTTGCAGAGGCCGGGCTTCGAGTCCTAGATGGACTTGTGAATGTGGCTGAGAGTTGTGAACATAAACCAAGGAAAGTATCAGTACTCCTACTGCTGTGGTGATGGTACAGGCCAAGAGACACACCAGGAAAATGCTCACCAGTGACCACTGCCTCTTCTTCTCCTAAGAGAAATTATGAAGCCATTATTCTCTACTCTTGATGCATCAAAAATAATTGCCTCCTTTCTCAATTTGGCTTATATTTTTTTACCCAAAAAATGCCTTTGTGGGATAAATATACTCAGTAAAATAATACATGTGTAAGTATAAGTGTAAATAAATACAAACATACACTCACACGTATTCCATACACCTGGCTGACACTCAAACACATAAGGAAAACAATAAGCATATGAAAAGCTGAGGCACAGAATAAATTACTAGAAAATTAAGTAGCCAGTTAAGTTTGTATATAAAATGCATTCGAGTGCAGCCAATTAGCCCCTATTTGCCAGTCTAGTCGCCTGAAGATGAAAGAGGTTATAAAGACTAGATTCTAAGAAATTTTTAGTTCCAGAATGTCCATATGTAGTAATCACATGTACTGGTAATAAGCATGGGAAACGTAACATACCAGTAAATAACTGGCCTGACAGATCTCAGCCTCTCTCTCCCTCCCTCCTTCACTTAAATAGCTTCGTTAAACCCCCTCTTTCTGTGTATTACCTGTCTGAGCTACTAACCCTACTAAGCACATCTATTCCAACTCCAAGCACAATATTTCCATGTATTTCTGTGTTACTATTTCCTGGTTTCACATTACAAAGACAATTCTACAAACAACAGTATTATTTCTGTGAGTTACAATCCACATTACTGAAAGCTACCAAAAGAATACACACCTTTACCTTTGGACCAATTTGCCCTGTTCCTCTGACCACTAAAATGGAATTCATAAGTACAAATGTCATGGTTTCCTGTCCACTGCCCTCTGAATTCCTCTCTGAGCAGGCATATCTTTGATTACTAATAACTCTAACATAGACTTTAGTATGTCAGCATTCTTAAACAATACATTTTGTATAGCATAATCATTGATCAACATTCTCAGTTTAACATTGTATGTGGATATTATACTGAGCAATAAACAATTCATTAATACCGTGAACAACAATTCATGGAAAGTTGGACCATTACAGAGCTAACGGAGATGTGAGCTAAGAGTTTATGAGACAGAAAGCAAATCAAGAAATGGTCAGAGCAGGAGATGCTACCTTTCAAAAGAGGGTCATTTGAGGAAAGCTGGTCGAAAAAGGGATTCTTTCCTGAGCTCTGCATAAAGGGTTGGGGGGAGCTAATCTCAAGACATAAATCTCCACCTTACCATTCTGGAGATGGTGGTCATCTTCCCCATAGAAAAAGCATTCTGTGCTGCATCTTCATGCATTTCAAATGCTGAGTTGTCCATCCACAAAAAGAAGCAGCCAATTCACTGAAAAAGAAAAGAGGGGAAATGTAGTTTTAACTGATGGAAAGATCCCTGAGAGGTGAAAAATGATAACCCTGAAGTAAGGGAGTACTTATATTGAGCTGAAAGTTAAGGAAACAAAATAAGGAAGCTATAATTTTGGCTTAGGGAAAAAACCCGGAAAAACCCCTAAAAAGAATTGCCGAACTAGAAACCAATAACACACTTCCATTGGTCCTTAACTCTTTGCCAACTGATGACACATACACAGATAATGATGTGACATTTATTTCCTTCTTTCACTGTGTGCCAGGCACTGTACTAATCACATATATTATGTGGGGACTGAATTCTTACAGTGGTTCAATCAGGTACTCTGAGTCTTCCCATTTTGTGGATGAGGAAACTGAGGCATGGAGGTGCAATGATTGCCCAGATGATATTAGCATCAGAGCAAAGCACCAACTATCAGAAGATTTTTCATGACACTGGTTCTCTACAGAGTTTCAGGGTGGGTGCTTAGTCTAGTAATCTATTTTCACCCAAACCAGCCTTGCCTCTAAACAATGGACTGATTTTCCCATGTGCTTTCTTGAATAATTTTGTTACCTGAAAGTTAAATCTTCATTCAAAATTCACTTGCATCCTATTTCCTGGTGACAAATGGTGGCCTGTGTCACCTAAAAACCACACCTATAATTCACAAAGCATCATCCATCCTTCTTTCCTATCTTCCTGTCTTCCTCCAGTAAGCATGGTTGAATGCCTACTGTATTCCAGACTGTCTACCACACCTGTGCAACAGCACGAGGCTGTTGAATGGCCTCTAGTAGGAGAAATGGAGAGGAAACCACTACCGAAGACTGTGCTGTGTTATGACAGAAGTGTGCACGAGGCCCCGGGAGGAGAGAGAAAACAGTGATTGTGTCTGAGACGGGATGTCTCCGAAGTCATAATGAGTCCCAACACAGCTTCATGAGGCGGGCCCAGTTAGTCAGTTCCACTCAAGTCCATATTTCTGGCTTGTCTAGAAGCAGCTCCGGAACATATGATAAAGACATAGATAGACCCTGTCTGGGTTAGGCAGCTCAGGTTCCGACAAGGCTGCAGGTGGTCACTATGCTGCAGCAAAGGAGAGCTGACACTGGGGCCTTCCTATCACATCTCATCAAATCTAAGACGCGGCAGTGTGTCATGCCAGTCTAGCCTTTCCCCAGCAAGACCTGGAATTGAAATGAATGGCACTGATTTTGAGGTCATAAAATATTTAAAATAATTGTCTGTGGGGCCAGTAAGGTGACATCATCTTGTTATCAGGGTGCCATAAAATACAATGTTTTTCCTGTTTGATGTTCCCTGTGCATTTGTTAACTGGAATGTATTCCACACCTTAGCATCTCTGAAAACGGGATATGTTTTACAGTGAATGGTCTCTAAGACTAAATGAAAGTATACCACTTTTCCTTGGTCTTGTCAGCAAATGGTACTATATGAATCTTCAAAGCAAGTTTTACACCACTTCATATTTTGCCATTTTTCTTTCTCAGAAGTATGAAAACACCGTCCTCTGTCACCAGCATTATGTGGGAGCTAAATTTAGCATTTATTTAAATGGCAAGAGAAGCAAATCATCAACCAAACTATATGAAAACTCACTTCAGCACTAAATGAAAGAATGCTGAAGCTGGATGAGGTCCTTTTCATCTTTGCAGATAAGGACACAGAGGGCGGGGGCCTGGGTGGCGCAGTTGGTTAAGCGTCAGCCTCTTGGTTTCAGCCCAGGTCGTGATCTCAGGGTCATGATCTCAGGGTCCTGGGATCGAGTCCACATCAGGCTCCACGTGGAGTCTCTCTCCCTCTCCCTCTGCCCTTCCTGCTCATGCTCTCTTGCTCTCTAAAATAAAAAAATAAATCTTTTTTTAAAAAAGAAGAAAACAGGGTCCAGAGAGGCTAAGTATTTTTCCCAGAGTAACACAGTAAGTCACTGGCAGAGCCAAAACAAATGTCCAGCTCTCTCACTTTCAGCCAGAGATTTTCCTATTTCTATTTGCTATAGGGGAACTTTATTCCTTTATATACGTGTAAATAGTTCAAGGTGAATTGAAGCAAAACAGCTGAAAGCAGGAGTATTATCAAAATCATTTTAAGACACATGAATGTGGGGCACCTGAGTGGTTCAGTTGTTAAGCATCTGCCTGGGATCAAGCCCCGCATCAGGCTCCCTGCTCCACGGGAAGCCTGTTTCTCCCTCTCCTACTCCCCCTGCTTGTGTTCCCTCTCTCGCTGTGTCTCTCTCTCTGTCAAATAAATAAATAAAATCTCAAAAAAAAGACACACGAATATAACTGTGATGCAGCCCAGAGACCCCTCAGTAGTGGGTATACTAGCCACTCACATAACCCTCAGAAGAGAGGTAGTTTCTACTAGACCAGAGATGCTTGGCAGGTGGGAAAGGAAGTAGGCAGAACTGCTCATTGAACCAGTCTACAAATAGCCAAATCACCAAGCCATTGCCAGACATGCATAAAGAACAGAACACTGGTGACCCCATTTTTTAAACACCACATTTTTGTGACACACCTAACCACACATCTAATAATCACTTTTAAATAAGAGCCATACTACTTATACATTGTGGCCAAAGACAAACATGGGTTAATGCCACATAATTAGGAAGAACAATGAACAAATGCATGCCCAGTACTTTTGTTTTGACTTCAAAATGTTTAAGCTATTGTGCTTCCAAACATAAATACCTGAAATATTTCCCAAGATTCACTTATACTGTCAAATATAATAATTGCTCAATTGAAACATAATTAGGAGATACAAACATTTGTTATTCACCAGTGGCCAGGATTATCCCCCCAAATATGTAACCACCCAAAGGGCACAGACACTGAGCAGTCAGAAGAGAAGTAGTTAGCTGGTGTGGCCACCAGATGGATGTGTACTAGGTGAACATCAGTCCTGCCAATAGCTACAACCAGGACACAAGTTTAGAGCAGAATGGTTAAGAGTACAAAGACCACCAAGGTTTGAATCCTAACTCTGCACTTATTAGCTGTGTGACCCGGGGGCAAGCTGTCTAACCTCCCTGTGCCTCAAGGTCTTCAATTATACAATGGGACTAATAAAGTTGCCTTCGTTAAAGTGTGAGAGGATAAACTAGTTAATGTATGTAAAGCATTTAGCACAGTGCCTGCACACAGTAAATGCCCACTTAATGTTTGCCTGATTCTTTTTTAATAAGTACAGGTAGACTTGCTATAATACCTATATTTTAATATAGCATAAGGACACTTGATTTCATAAACGCTCTAGACCCTTCATAACAATTCAAAGTACTACATCCTCACCTGTTTCCTTATATAATTTATAAATTGTCCTTATTTTAAAAATTAGAAAATTAGAGTAGAAAGATCTGCTTATAAAGCTAATAGAACTTTAACTAAGACCCAGCTTTTCTTACTGCCATTCCAAGGGGCTTCCTATCTGGACCATACCTAAGTACTACAAAGCTGAAGCAGTATAATCCTTCTCTTTTAACCCCTTCATCTTCTTCTAATTTAACTTCCCACATTTAATATTATTTAAACCATGGTCACTTTAATCTCCAAAATGGGCAGTGCTGGGAAGAGGGTGGGAATCCTTAATATCTATTAGTAACCATCAGATATCTAACAAAAATCTATTTTTTAATGTAGGAAATAGAAATCAGCATTAGAAGACCACAGTAATAATTGCTGCAGGCAAGATCCCTCAATGCGTGCTAAAATTACTGGTGGAAAGGTTAAGTGGAAAACAGAATATTTGTATATTCTTAAAGTGTTGCTCCCAAACACTTGATAATTACACAAAAGGACAAATAGTGAGTTCCAAGTGAAGAATCCTGGAGAGCACTATCCTAGCCAAGTGAATAAGGTTAGCATCATCTGTGATACTTACTGACATCATGTACCCTCTGATATGACGTACCAAGAAGGACAGATTACCTCTGGTCTATGGTAGCCTTCCCAATAATGCATAACCCTCAGTCTAATCATGATAAAACATCAAACATACCCAGATTGAGTGACATTTTACAAAATTACTGACTGTAATTACTGATTCTTCACAAGTGCCAAGGTCATAAAAGGCAAGGAATGGCAAGAACTGTCATAAATTGCAAGACACTAAGGAACCATAACAACTAAATGGATTGGATCCTGGAACAGAAAAATGACATTATGGGGAAAAGCTAGTGAAATCTGAATAAGGTCTGTAGTTTAGTTAATAGTATCATGCCGGATTTTGAAAATTGTTCTATGGTTATGTAGATGCTAATATAAGGAGAAGCTGGGAGAAAGCCAACTCAGGGAATATCTGCAACTCCAAGGTCTACAGTCTTTGATTATCTTAAAATAAAAAGTAAAAAAGAAGAGGAAAAAAAGAAGGAAGGAAGAAGGGAGGGCAGGCGGAAGAGAGGAAAGGAAGGAAGGGGGAGAGAAAGAAGGAAAATCCTGAAAAATAACCATTACCTCTTTCTGGGGCACATGACTAGTTTATATTTCCCAACATCCTTGCAGTTAGATGTGGCCGTGTAACTGAGTTTTAGTCAATGACATATGAGTGGAAATGCTGTTTGCCGTTTCCAAGCTAAGACTTAAGAAAAAATGTTTGCCCCCATCATACCTTTTCTGCCTTTCACCAGCTGGTTGCAGAGATGTCCTGTGGGATGGCAGAGCCACTAGAGGGAAGAAGTCTAAGTCCCCAGTTCACTGTGTAGATAAAACCACCTACCAACCAAGAACTCCCATCTCAAACTCTTGCATAAAAAAATAGGGGCGCCTGGGTGGCTCAGTCGTTAAGCATCTGCCTTTGGCTCAGGTCATGATCCCAGGATCCTGGGTTCGAGCCCCGCATTGGGCTCCCTGCTCCGCGGGAAACCTGCTTCTCCCTCTCACACTCCCCCTGCTTGTGTTCCCTCTCTAGCTATGTCTCTCTGTCAAATGAATAAA